CGCGATCAGATGCATACTGCCTAGCTGCGTGCCCATATATGCTAAGCTGGCAGCTTCGACGCTCGCAGAGAGATGATCGCATGCTGTGGCGGTCCTGTAATGGTGGGTGACTTCCCCCATGCTGCGCGTGAACCCGCCAATGTAGGTCGAGAAGAAAGCGTAGCGAGCGCGAGTGTCCCAACCCAGCTCGAGACCAGTCGGTTGGCCTTGTACCCCTGGAATAACTGCGTAGTCTCTTTGGGTGACTACTTTCTGCTCCACCGACCGAGACTCGTCCCGAAACTGCAAAGCGTTGGGGTCTCGATAGCCGTGGCAGGTTATCTTAGCTCTACGGCATTGGCCGCAAGCTTCCAGTCGGAGATCGCACTGAAAAATCGCCAATGTCAGCATGAGCACAAACTTCCGGATTGATTGTCACCTTTTTCGATGCTTCTTTACGGTGGTATGGGGAGCGTACCCTTAGCTTTCTGGACCTGCAGGGGAAGCAGGCCGGCGACAGTCGACCGTGGAACACCATTTCGACGAGCTCAGCGTGCTTTCCTCGAGGAGACTGAATGCCGAAGAGCCTTGGGAATTTCGACAACTAGTTGGAGTGAGTCTTCCTCGGATGTCTCCGGAACTTCGACTACTCCCGTCTCCTGATTCCAAATGAAGGGAAAACTCCGCGCAAGAAGCAGAGGCATTTTGAGTCAGGCCAACACGAACTTGACTTCGAGTGTGAAGCAACCTCATTGGGCGTGAGATTGCCGCATTGGGTTAGCGTACCGTTGCTTGAACTCTATTATGTGGATTCCCACTGAAGAGCAGCGGCCAGTGCGACGAATCTTGAGGATGTAGTCGTAAATGAACGTGTGGTCTTCGCTGCCTATTTGTCAACTCCTGTTATTCACTAAATTAAACTTGATTGATTGTTGTTCAAATAATTGCCATTGATTTCGTCATGCTTACTCTCCAGTCTTGAGTAAATCGGTATAGAAGTGCGCGGTGATCTTTCCACGGCCAAGAACCAGCAAGCAACATACGCTGAAAGCTGGTACCAACGCTCGCTTTCGCAAACAAGAGCGATGGAGTTGACTCCAACACGCGACAACAGACTTACTCGCGACATGCAGAACTACGGCAATGAAGGCCGAGAACCTTGGAAGCTGAACCTGGGATTCGATTTCGTCAGTCTTCTGCGTCATAGTTTTCAGAACATACATATTTCAATGATTACCTCTGAACATGGGGGTGGTTGCTCCTGAACAGCAATTCATATTGAGGCACGTATCGCTCCCCTCCCTTGCCGATTTCTTTTTCTTGACACTCCCCGCCATCATACTAAGTCCTGCCCGAGTTTCTGCAACTTCAAGGCAAACGAATCCGCGCCGTATCGTTCACGAGCCCCGCCAAGTCATCGGAATGTCTATTGCAATCACCGTCCTCTTCAATAATGAGAAGGACTTTCAACAAGATACCAACTTTCATGTCAATCAAGGCACGCCCTGCGAGCAACATGACAGGCAAGAAACCAAAGCGGCCGCTGTTCCCCACGCAAGCTTTCGCCATGGATTCGATGGATATGCGCCGTTGGTCACCTCCGGATCGTTGGCAAACTTCGATAATGGAGATCAAATCATGTCCGCCTCTACAAGACTGAAGATGGAAGGCGGATATCTCCAGGTCAACCGTCCCACCGATCCGTCTTCGTTCTCAAGGAGGTGATTAGGAAGGCATTGGAAGGAGTGAAATGGAACATAACACAGACCATGTTACGTTAGTCTCTGTTGACTGTGGATATTCCTGATGCCAAGACGCGAATGAGATGTGTTAAGAGGCACTTGACTCTGGCTCGGGCCAGTCTCATCGCTCGCATCATGTTAGAAGACAACTCAGCACTATTGTACCAAGTCCCACAGTATCTTTGACCGAAGAAATTTGGGTATCGATTGAAAACAGAACATTGCCTACAAATGGCAGAGCGAAGTTGGTTCCTTCACGGGATCTCCTGCCACTATTGTGAGAACATTAGTATGTCTCACTTCCAAAGCCTAACATGGCTACTGCGCCGATCAATTCATACCGGTCATGATAAAACCTTGCCCGCTCAAAGGCCTCTCTTTCCATACCAAGCCCTCCACCTCACCTCTGAAATCAGCCGTCTCTTCCACCAGGTCCCATTCCCCAGTGGTGTGGTTCTTCTTCAACGAACGGAAAATAATGGTCTCTCCCGCATCCTCAAATATGAACTCGCGTCTGCATAGGCGTCTCCATTGCTCCGCTGCCGTGCCTTCCTTGGCATTGTCCCTTTCAAGGTCACGATTCTTGAGAAGAACGGCAAGAAAGGCTTGGCTATCCCACAATCCTTCCCGTCTGGGGTACTTTTCGAGAATTCGTGTCGCGCTCTCTCTTACCAGTGGATCGCGGCAGGTCATGGCGACAATGGTGAGTTGCCATGCGATGCCAAACTCCATAGAGAAGAGGTTCGCCGGCGATTTGATATCTTTCTCTTGTTCGCGCAGCAATATCTCGATTACTTCATTGATCTCCCGGCAGTGCGGTGTCATGCTGGAGATGGTCGCCTCATCTGCATATTTGGGGAAGAAGCTGTAGATGAACATGATCAAGTAGTGCATCCGCAGATGCAAGATCTTGAGATACTCTCTCCGACTGATGGAACTGTCTGACAGAGTCCTGTTGTAAAGAGGCTCGAAAGATGCTCGCCATTGTTGCAAGTGCCCCATGGACTTCTCACAATATGCAAGCAGCTCTGGGCGGTCTTGCATGATCACAAGGAGTTCGTCGATCCCCTTCTCGTCTGTTATCTCATCTAACTTGAGATCGTCGATGACGCTGAGCAATAACGGACCGAGTTTCGCGATTCGCCGCTGACACACCTGCCACCAGGTGTACGCCTGCTCGGCATCGTAGAAGATCTCTGGCATATTTTTTCTGCCTTCTCCCGGGTCTGTGTAGCGTTGGATCTGCATGTTGTACGTCTCAATAGTGTGGCCGCGGGCCTTGAGGCCTCTAATGAGCTCATAGGCCGGTGACCGACTGGTCTTTACGTTGCCGGCTAGGACGGTGCGACTCTGTACGTCGAGGTGGTTGTACAGGTCTAAGACCTCCGTGATGAGTTGTCGCGGGTCGGGGGCGAGATTCCAGATACGCGCGTCCGCATCCTCACTCATAAGCAGTTCCTGTAATAGCACGAAACCATATCTCACGTGCTGCAGCGCCGAATGCCGATTTCCGCGGAGGGCCTCAAAAGAAACAAACAGTATGGACAACAGGACTGCTTCCTGGATGCTTGCTGTTTGGAAGTCGGCGTGAGCTTGCAGTCGAAGAGCTTGGCAGTAATGAACGATAGCGCTCTGATAGTGCTGGCTCTGAAGAAGGTCGGCGATGTTGTTGAAGTTCCTCGCGACGACGTAGTTCCCTTTTTGCGACAGCGCCCTGCTCATGGCGCCGATACTGATGGCCGCATGTCGTAGCGCCGGGTTCTGCCTGCTGAGTTGCGGCATCATCTCGTTCCAGAGCTTGGTACGGGAGAAGGGCGCACCGCCGAGGGAAACCTGGACAAGGTCGTTCCAGTCTTCAAAGTAAACGCTGTCTCTATCGTTCTCAAAGTCCAGGGAGTTCATGTCTGGTTCTCTTGGCAGCACACGCTGGTTGACACGACGTGGTGAGGGAGGGTTGAGTCGTTGTGGTTGAGCGGTGGGCCTGCCCCTCGCCTTCCGTGGCTTGACGACGTACCCATCGCATACGCCACGAGTTTTCAGGCAGTTCATGCAATGTGGCTTTGCCTCATCGCATTTGATGTGCCGTTTTCTAGAAGGGTTAATGTTAGATAACAGCCTGGGATCGGCCACTTAGGCGTCTTGTAAAACTCACTTGCCTGCTGAGGGTGAGCGGAGTGCAGCATACGCGAGCGGGGCTTTTGGTACTCACAGGTCACACAGCCTGTCCTCACTTTAGGCGTGCTGGTGCGGGTGTGTCTGGGGCGGTGAGCGACAGATAGTCTACCGTTGCTGTTGTTATCGCTTTCGAGTGAGCCGGCCTGGCTGGCAGCGCTTCTCGGCGATGTCGACGCCGTATCTGCAAGATGTGCTGGATCCATCTGATGGTGGGATTGTCCGAGGGTAACTCAAATGAGAGGGATTGGAAAGATTTCCGGTCGGTCGGTCGCTATGTCTCCGCGTTGGGCCCGACCCATGCAAAAGGTGAGCCGCAGATGAGCACTTGGCAAGGGGTCTCTGAAGGAGCAACGTCAGAGGGCGTGCCGGTTTACGGATAGGTAGATTTACGGGCTCTGCAGCGTCTCCTGGAAGTGGGCTGATTTGGTCGAGATCCGCCGGTGATGTGTAGGGCGCTATCAAATTCGTAGTATGCTCAGCTGCTTGTTTCTGGCAAAAGGTGATGCTCTCAATGAGGCACAGAGTCGATGGATGAAGCAAACACGTTTGTCATCAAGGCAAAAGTGAACCTGTCAGCTCTTTTCCTGACCTGAAGGTCGCGTAGGCAGTATTTCGAGCAGTGATCATGGGGCGCAGGGATCAATCTCGGCTTGAACGATCAAGGGGTATTGATGCATACTTTATGCCAGATGTGGCTGAACTGGGTTAGAATGAGAATGGGACTCTCTTAACTGCAAGATGAACTCCACATGACTCGAAAAAGTCCGTCCGCCTCCAACAAAGTACTGCCACAGGTCAGACAGACTGCGCCATGTACTTCCGTACAATCATTAGCCAACAAGAGTTTAGCGTTCTATCCTGCAGTCAGCAGAATGCGGCCGCCGTAAACCCGCAAGGATGATAACAGTTCCCCGCCGATCACTGGTTTACCGCTAAAGCCAAAGTTCCTTTAATAATTCCCATCCCCGCGCTCGTCTTGCCTCGATTTCCTCCTCCTTGCTCAGGACAATCAACCTATCTCGCAAGTCGAGACCCTCAACTCCCTCCGTTTCAAAAACGCCAACTTCTGGCCCCTAGTTAACGGGGCCCCTACACTCTGCAACAATGCCGGCCGCCGCAGCATCAGCATCGGCCGCCTGCCGCCAGATCGCCAGATTCTGGTGGCAACCTCACCAACAGTCTGCCATGGGCAGCGGATAATTGCAATCTCCCCGGCGAGACCGGCTTCATTCACGATCTTCAGTATCAACAACAACCGTTGGCGACCGCTGGTCTCCCGGGTGCGGATTTTGGGCTCTTCGGACCTGAATCCGTCCACACCGATCCGAGCCTTACCTATTTTCTTGATCCGACACCTTGGGACACTCTGCCGTGGACGTCTGCCGCTACTGCGACGCCTCACGTCAGTGCCAGTCCCCTCGACAGCTCAATTGACCAATGTGAGTTGACTCATTCCGTGACTCCTTCAATTGGCCTCAAGCTAAACATAAATGTAGCATTCCCCTACATTGACACTACACCACCCACCCTCTTCGACACCTTCCCGGATAGCCTCCTTCCTCCTCACCTGGATCCTCTCTTCGGCTCCAGTGACAGCTCGAACAACAACAGTCCTAATCAGCCTCCACCCCTGGACATGTCAGTATACACTGCTGCGCCGGGGGCCCCATCATCTCACCGTTCCTCGCCCAACTCTGACGGCCAAGGCCAAGAGATATCGACCCCCCACACCGACAAGATCCTGCGTCGGCAGCGAAACACCATCGCCGCACGCAAGTATCGCCAGAAGAAGGTTGATCGCATCTCGGACCTCGAGAAGATGTTGGAGGACATGACGCGCGAACGCGACGAACTCCGTCTTCGTCTCGCGCGTCAGGAGGCAGAGACCGAGGCTCTCAGGAGCGTCATGCGCAAGGAAACTAAGCCGTAGCTGGATGGTCAGCCTTTGTGTCTTTTCGCCTCCGTTGGGAATGAGTCATATGAAGGAAGCGCTGGTGTTTGTCAGACGATGTCGGCTGGAAATGGACCCATGGACTCGCATCCTGTGGTGCGAAAGAGTTTTGTGTTCAGTCATCTTCCGGTGTTGTCATCATGTAGCAGCTAATGAATGGAATGTTTGGTTAATTGTCAACTTGCCTATCTCTTCATCATTGTGATGTACCACGCACTTCTCATGGCTTCTTGTCGTTAAGGCTGGGTTTAACTTGAACTCATTTCTTCATTGCCAAGAGACTCTACGATGGTGGAAGCTATTTAAATCTATCTTTCTATGACTTCGCGATCTTCTTTCCTTGGTGGCTCAGCATGACCCAAGATGGCTCATTCAGCAAGCTGAATTACGGCAGTAAGCGACAATCGCTCACGAAACCAATCCCGTGGCCACCGAGATGCGGCACGAAATACGAAATCACCACTTTTGGGAGGTGATGTCTAACTTCAACATAATGGCTCAATGTGGTGCTCAATGGCTCATCCATCGTCATTCCATCACAGCAACATACAAAAGAAGCGTCTGTCAGCGACATATCACCCCTCATTCTCTCAGTCGGCAGCTCATTCCGGACCCTTCTTCAAGTGGAGGATGACAGGCTCGTGCACAACGCCGTGGCTGGGATGATCCTAGTCATTGTCAACCAAAACATGCATCAGCCCTTGCTAGCGCGGATGATTCATCGTGAGCCATGCTTGGCGCTGCAGGCTGGTCCAACCACGGTGTCACCAACTGAAGCGAACAGTTCCAGACGGGACGGAGAGTTCGCCCACCGACAACCCGACAAAAATGGGGCGATCCCAGGCAAACGGACGGGAATCAGGACCCCGAGGCTTGTTATCCTGCTTAGATGCATCGTCAGCCCCTTGGCGAGTTCGCTTAGACGACTTGATGCAAGCAGCTGTCCCGTGCACAACCTCTGCATAACGTCAGCCGGCAGTTGGCTCGGCCGGTTGGTTCTGTACACAAATTGAGCCACTCACGTCGAAAGACTCAATACTTGTCCATCATCACCACACAATCAGACACCTCATATTCGACACTGCCCTTCAAATCCTTATGTAATATGACGTGGACACGTATCAATTACACTGCTGCTCTGAGATTAATTGGCGTTGAAACATGACACCGTAGACAGCCTGTATGTCAGCCGTATGGGCGCATATGCTTACTCGTCACAAGTAATGGGAGCCTCGGTCCGAAAAGGAAGCGTAATATTCTGCACAGCATGCCGAGAGGCCTGAATTTAATCACTGAAAAGATTGTTTTTCGATGCTAGCAACATATGAATCGACTTAGAGGAGTCAGAATGGCGGACAATTACCTAGCTTCAAACCTTTCTTTCTAAGGTAAGTCGAGTCGGTCTCCTAGTTCAGGCTGTAACGCAATGCCTGGAAACTAGTATGCGACCGTTATCTGGGTTAAGATTAATTTGCAACCTATGTTTTTCGAACTTTTGATAGATGTAGCTCATGACATGCTATGCAATATGTCATGGCAATTATTCCTTAGTTGCGTCCCATAGTGCGTGATATAAGGTTCTTTCCTGGGTATTACCTATAGACATTGAGTCGGACCTGAATCCTCTAAAACTCAGCGATTCAGCAATTCAGAGGAATTATTGGGCACCATGACCAAAAGAACAATGGGCACGACCGGGATCAGTCCCCGCCAGAACAGGTCTAGATATTCCGCCCGGACAGCAAAAGTAAATACACGATGCAAGCCAAAGTCCAAGTGTTGAGGCTAGAACTTGGCTTCTCTCGATATAGATTACACGGGGGTTTTATTAGATAGTAGGTGTTCATCGTGGCCCTCGGCACGTTGGAATTTAGCACAGACCGTGATTTTGACCAGTCAAGATAATGCGCCCCGTGAATTACTCCCACTTAATCGAGCAGAAGTTTCTTCCTCACTTTTGTATTAATCATAAAGAAGACGCAAGATTGGAAGATACAGATGGCTTGACGTCAAGTTTTAGTTTCATATGTATGTAGGTAGGGACTGCGTTTGCGTAAAGAAACAGCTGCCTCAACAATCTCCTCTAACCACGGCCAATCCGGCCAGATTCATAACATCAGGAGCGACAGACAAGAACTGAAACCCCTTCGCCATTTTCGTCGCAATGTTCAACAACACAACCAAAACTAAGCCTCCTGAATCGTCTTTGAGTCTTAACCTCGGCAAATGGGAACATTCTCTGCTGCCTTGCCAAAGATCTCCACGGATCCGTCCCACCGGAAGTATCCAGCAGTGTATCGAGGGCACGCAGTGTCCATCTGCTTGAGAGCGTGGTTGATGTCAACAAGATCAAGACTTCCGCTGCTGTTGGGCGCGTTGATGCAGTAGTAGACTTTTACTCCTCTTCGGATGAACCAGATGGCCTTGGGATTGCTGCCAGACCGGAGAGCATAGGCCCCAGTTGGTCCGACCTTGTTCTTCCAAGCCGAGACGGCGGCATCGGTGCCGGCTCGGTCCAGAGCTGAGCCCCAGCAGGAGGTGGATCGTCTACCAAGACGAGAAGTAGGTTCACCACCATCGACGCTGCGCTCGCTGATGGAGTTCTCCCAGTCCGCGGACGGCTCGATGGTGAAGAGCTTGGAGTCGCTGGCACCGAGAGGCTTGGCTTCCATAGTGCCATTCGAAAGCGTGGTTCCTTCGTACCAGCCATCGGGAAGTGCCTGGACAAGGCCAGCAATGGCAAGGGTGAAAGCTTGAAGGGTGTTGGAGAACTTCATGATGAAAAGTTGTCGTAGGGGTCGAAGGATGGTTCAAGGATTTAATTAGGTCTTTTCTCTTGTAGATTCAATTATGGTTAAGGCTCAGGACTGCTGAGTTGACGACTAGAGGGAGAGGGCGCAGTGAGGACGATTGAAGCGACATATGTATACTACCGGTCGCGTGGAAGTTGAAGTCTGTATTGTCAGGCCAACTTACAAGATGTTCTGTCCGTTTAGATAGCTCTCGTCTAGATAACGTAGTGTCACTATTGTAATGTATTACCACCCTAGTCTAACCAGTAGTCATGCTCCAGTGGAAATCCTTCAATCCTTTCGGGCACCGTAGTTGCCCGGGAGTTCAGCCTACTATCGTGATGCGATCAATCGGTCTAAAGCAGGATGCAACGACTATAGATGTTCCTGTCATCGTTGGACAAGAATTCCTCTTGTGTTACAAAATGTGGATGTTGACAGCGTCTTGGGGTTGGAGCCTGCTTGACCTGGATGTCATCGAGACTGAATGCTGATACGCACTTATTGACTTTCTTGCGTGTTTCTACCCCGAATACCTGTAAATCAACTATCTAACCACGACCACGAGCGATTTAGAACGACGGGTAACGAGACCGCGTGAGATCCTTCTGCATCTGTTACTTCTTGCGAGCAGGCCTGGGATCGAAGTTAAAGGGGGTTTGGAGCTCTATGTAAAATGTCATTCTGTGCATGATTGACTGTTCGGAGGCCGTTTCGAGGTTCTCAAGGTACTCAGTGTACTTCCACAGGATTCATTATCAGACTACGGGTTCATAATCTCATATCATGGTTGGCCCAGTACATATGCTAGATCAGATTGATGCAATCTGCGGACACTGCTTGAGCGCTAGCTTCTGATGTAAGAAGCACTGTACACTTGCTCAAGTCAATGTACGTTCCAGTGTAACAGTGTTGTAGAAGCGAATGCGAGTGCGAAGCTGCAATTGAGAGCGACATTGCCTGGTTGTCAAAGGTCAATCCCGATACTCAACATATTGCGGTCCTCTGTGCACTACGGCGAAGCTCCTGATGCAGGATTTCCCGCAGCCAGCCAGGGTGGATGTTTTCTCAGCATGGAGATAGCTGAATCTGGCTCGGAAAACAACTTCAAGACATGAGGAGATTGATCATTGGCCGTATCATCTACCCGTGACACAATGGCAAATGATGAGTAGCATTGTTTCGCCCGATCAAGATGGCAGTACTCTAGTCCTGTTCGGCTGTGTCATTTCGTGCTACAACAAGTACGTGTCCGGCTCGTGCCACAGGTTTTCGGAGGACCCCTTACCAAGGCAGCACCTGCGATTCAAAGGGGCCGTACAGGATCTACAGCATGCTGACATAGTGTGGAGGTGGCAATCAATCCTTCCGGTACAGTCAGGGTGTCGCTACCGTTTTGATGCACTTGCCCTTTGCGTCATGTTCCACCGACAGCGTGGCGAGCACTTGGCTCCATAGTAAGCTTTGGAGCCATGAATCGTATGCAGGTGAAGGAATTATGTTATAGCTATCATCGTGGGTATCCATAAAGCCGATCTTAGAAGACCATTAACAATGAGAAGTTCGTGAAGAAAACCAGCGCCGATCGCCTTTCCCAAAACAAACTCCGCCTTTCCATTAACGTGCGGATCAGTTGTCACTGATCTCTCCAGGAACCACCAAACAAGTGCTGAACGAAGGCATCATCAGGAATGGTTCCGTCATGTGTACTGTCAGAATGCAGTTGTCCCATCCCGAATCCGTCGATAGGAAGAACCAAGACATCGCCGTATAACGTCGGCTTTGTCATATATGATAGGTTTCGAATGTCGGTCAGGCTAGGTTCGATGGTCTGCAGGTGCTCATACACAACGTCTGTCCAAGCCGCAGGTCCAGTAGAGTTCATGACTTCGAAGCTAGTTGGCTTCAGCTGACTTTCCTTAACACCGTGCTGCCGAACCAGATCCTCGACAGATTCAACCACCCTGTTTGTCATCTTCTTAAAGATGGGATGTCCTGGAGCTGCCGCAATAGTCCATTGACAGAACTGAAGTGGATGGGGAATATCTGCCCAAGCGGGACCATCGCGCTGATCAAACTCGATACCGACAATCAGCCGGGTTGCATTTCTCATGTTACGCGGAACCCATGTGTCTACGGGCTTCAAGGCGAGGGTATCGGTATCGGTGTACACCCCGCCCTCGACGTCGAGGAGCAGGTATCGAAGCATATCGGACTTCATGCCGACGTTAGGCATGTTGATGTACGTTTGCAGGATCTTGGATTGGTCTCCGAAGCGGCGCTGGACGAATTCTTTGCCGCCCTTCCCGCCAACTAGGGTACTACACAATGTGAGGTTAGCTTCATCTCTTTGCGGTATAGACAAGAGCTGTTGCCCTCTAGGAATAGAGTTGATGACGTCTGTTATGTTTGGACAAAGAAACGACGTTGCGTTCCCCCAGCTTGGAAGGTGCCAAGGACCACAGAAAGCTCTGCAAGGAAACAAACACCCCCGAAAACCGTAGAGGGAAAGAGCTAGAGATTACTTACTAGGCGTAGTCGGTGTTCATGGCCAACCATGATGCTGTTTCCTTCAGCTTGTCGGGGTTGTTGACAGGGTATTTGTCTTTCCAGTTCTTCGGAAGCATGATCTGCCAGATCTTGGGAGGAATAATATGGCCTGGGCGCGGCTTGACCCAGTCGGATCGTGTTGAGTTGTCAATCCATGTTGTGTGCTCCACGGAGAACATATCGGCGCTGAATGGAAATCGGAGGCCGTTCGGTCCGCTGTTGCCGTACAACCAAAATGTCGAGATGAGGATTAGGATGAGGCCCGTGAGTGCGCATGTTCGGTATCGGAGCCGAGAGATCTGGTGTAGGAACCGCTCCCGCAGTGGCCTGCGGACCGCCAGCTCAGGCTTCTCGCTCATGTACATCGTCATCTTCGAGGCGGCTGACTGGGGAGAAAGAGCAAGCAGGACGACGAACAGGACGGGAAAGAGGCCTTGGGGGCGCTGCCGAGGGGCAGATCAGTACATATTGTATCACGCAAGACAGCGTACGAGTCGAGGCAGCGCCGGCAGAGAACATTTCGCAAGCGGCGAATTGGCAAGACTAGCCGCAAAGGGAGGGATGAGAGACTTCTCACGCCCGTACAGGGCGGGTCATCCCTCGATTGGAAGATCAGTGTGGGCACTTAAGACATCCGTCAGCTCCGCAAGCCAATTTGGGTCCAGAACACGGAAGCTCAGGCACAACATGGAGAGGCTGGCAGGGCGGGATCGCCTTGCACGGGAAGTTCTCCCTCCCTGGGCACCGGAGACATTATTCTGGGACATGACGGATAGGGCAGGCTAGCCTCAATCACCCCATGTGCGTGGGTTCTTCGACCTTTCGTGTTGGCTGGTAGTAGAGTGCACGCTAGGTTGGGGATGGCACGGATGGGTTCATTCGATGGACGGATGACACCGTGTTCCTGGTTCTGCTAAGGCTGTCAGTCGGCATCTATGCCTGTACGCACGTTACAATCCTTGAACTTGGTTTTACTCTAATAATGCTTGTCACTGATCATCCTTGTCTCAACGACACCCATATCGGCAGCCAATCTGCTGGAGCCGAACGAGACATGCATGTTTCTGGATAACACCACAGTAATATCAACCGCAGGGCATCCCATCCCACACGTCCGTCTCATTCTGTTCAATTAAATACGCCTCAAAGCCAATTAAATTGCTCTTTCTGAGCCTGCCCTCCCTCATGCAGTTGATCAAAAGAAAATAAAAGGGTAAGCAGAGACCATGTGCCTACGCCACACATCGCAACACTGCTTGGCACCCGGACGAAGATGATCCGTTGAAGGGGGTACCTTTTCTTACTCTGACATCTGAACCAGTCGCTTGGCGTTTTTTCTTTTCGGCTGCGCCCAGCATTAGTGCCAAAAACTTCTTGTGCTCTTGTCCCTGCATGGGCTAGTGAAGTCCAATACGAGCCCATTTGCCGTGAGCTAGGAAAAAGGAACGGTACCAAAAAATCGGCACTTTGCAACATCTTGAGTGGTCCACCCCGGCACGGAGTTGAGCGTTCTCAAGAGAACCTTATCTGAGTTGCAAAGACCCTGCATCCTGTTCAGACGGGGCATTTTGGGGCGAGGCAAGAATCGCTCTTTTCTCTGTTCAAATCACCGCGAACGGCCTTAAGTGGGGCCGCACTTCGGAGTTCGCGACCCATACTGGGTGGATCCTTGATCGATACGTCAGTCAGCCCTTTACACAGCCGCAATAAAGTTCAGCGTTGAGAACTTTTTCGCCTGGGCATTCAAACTGACTTTGGTGAAAATTAGCAGCTGGTCAACTTCAAACGCAATCCAAGAACTGTAGAGCAGCCAATCATATCTATTATGCTAAGAATAGCCTATTGCGCGCGAGACTGCGGTTTAATGATTACTGTTGCTTTCCGTCAATCATCATTGAAATCATCTGCATTTGCTCAAATGCCATCTGATGCCGCAACATGTCCTCCGTGGAAACTGCAAAGCCCCTTGACCTGAACTCATGAGCAAGAACCGCCGCTGACACTGAATTGCCCCAGGTCTCAAGGAACGACCTGCTACCCTCCCTCATCATGCCGAACTCGCCATCATCCACATCAAGAACCTTCATCCAAACCTCTTTGACAGTATTCTCAGCCCGCGAGTTGATTACAACACCGAGAGTTCGCCTAATTGTGGCGCTCTCACGGATAATTGGCAACAACGGGGACCAGTCGCCTTTATCCAGAGGAACAGGCTGATCGGGAAACTGAGTGATGAGCTTCAAGTACTGTTTAAATGTCGACATCATCACGCCAGCCACGTCTTCGGGCAGACACGCTTTTGCGACAGCCATCATGACTCGCGTCTGGTCCCCGAAAGGCTCTACGTGAACGATCACGTCCGCTCGATCGCCCGGGTCCATGATCTCCGTGAACCTCATTGTCGGAGCAACTCCACCATCTTCATTGCAATTCTGCGGAGTTCCGATGTCTAACCCCTGGAAAACCAGCAGTGACGAAAATCGCGTCCACCGCTTCCAGGCTGTGCACTTCTCAACTATCGTATTCGCCCCGATGTTCTCGTATCGCATAGAGGCTACGTGCTGCGTCTGTAGTTGCTCGACCAGATCTCCGTATGTGATTTTGGGACTATTGCCAGTGGCTGACGTGGTGATTCGTAGGCGTGTGGGGATGTGTGAAGTGCATGAACCCATCACATCCTCTGCGAACTCCACGGAGTGATTGCGGCCCCAGCCTGTCGAGCCGAACACAACATCGTCTCTACCAGTCAGCTCAGAAAGAGTGAGCGCCCAGGCCGTTTTGACAACTGCACCTTTGGTGTTACCGCCGAAGGTGTTGCTGCTTCTGTCGCCAATGCAACAAGACTCAAGCAACTGACTGTCAATCATGCTCACGAGCACACCATCCACAAAGTTCAGACCTGATGGGACGTCATGACTGGAACCCTTCTGAGTGACAAGTTGGGTCATTTCCGCGCCATGAAGAAGTGATGTCCAGTATTCAATGCCTTCGTCCAGCTCGTTTGTCCGAGCATAATGAAGGTATGCTTGATAGCTTCCTTTGAGCTCAGGAAGCTGGCATCCGTTGAGGAGAGACCTCATTTCGCGACTCAAGATTGACACAGAGTGGCCATCGTATTGAGCTGCAGAAATGCGGATGAGCAGACGCTGGATCTTGGTGGCGTCATGGCTGGAGAGTAGTTCAAAGGCTGTCTGAGGACAAGTCATATTCACGAGTCTGTCCCTGAAATCGGCCTCAGTGAGCGTATTGGTGGCATTCTCAATGCTGTCGAGTTTCAGATGAGTTCTCGTTGGAGGACGAAAACACTTCGACACAGCTTGATACAGCGCTCGCTTGTGTGGCACAAAAAAGGTTCGTAGAGTGGAGTCTGACTCTATTAGCTCGCGTTCACACAGTTGAGATAGTGGGTTTCTTCGCAGATGCACTTACGTCTTTCTGTCAATGTTTCACACATGCGATGAACTGCTGTCTCGTCCCGAGGCTCGTCAAAGTCGCATATGAGCCAGTTGATTCCGCGGCGCTCTTCACTAAAAGTAGAGAACGCGACGCAGCTCGCTTGAAGATCCGTGGCCTGGACCATGTCTTCCATTTCGTGTGAGGCAGACGCCTTTCTAGCGCTCTCTTGGATTTCGCCGAGTGTGATTTGGTTTGCAATATTGCTGAATGGCTGATACGAGCTCATTGACTCATTAGTCTCAGCGGACTTGCACAGAAACTCGGCGAGTTGGAACAGTCTTGGGTTTTGAAGGATGTCCTGTGAGTTAGGTATGGTACATTAGTTGACATTCTGCCTTCAATGCGCACGGAAGAGTATCGCCACTGACCGGTACTGAGACACTGAAACCCAGCTTCCTGGCCAGAGATACCAATTTGATGGCTTTAAGGGAATCGCCACCCATGGAAAAGAAATCTGATTGACGACCAATTTCACCTTTGCTCAAGTTGAGTGACCGTGCGAACAGCTGGCAGACGATTGCCTCAAACTCGTTCATCGCAGGCTCATCCTTGACAGATACGGTGACTCCAGAGACCGCAGCCAACCTAAGCTTATCGAGTTGACTGCCAATTTTCTGCAGACGCTTTCGGTCTAGTTTGCCTTGACTAGTGACCGGCATCCTTAGAAGTGGGATGAAAGCTTGGGGAATAGCAATGGCTTTGAGGTCGTTTGCAAGCTTCTTCTTGATGCTTTGGACGTCAATGAGCTCAGACTCACTATCGTTGACAATGTCCAGCGGCGCAGCATCCTTTTGGGTACCTCCTACATCTTTTGCGTAGAATGCGATCAGAACCTTCGAGGCAGTTTCTTCTCCACTGGTCAAATGTACTGCCTCCACCGCGACTGTGCAGTCAACCCCAAGCAGTTGACTAGGCCGCTGATTAACCCCCAACCATCACTCTCCCCGCCCCTTAGGATCAAGGATGTGGAAGAAGCATCTCTGAAGACTAGAACTCACCCGACTTTATACTCAATCTCGCCAAGCTCAATGCGCTGGCCATTTAGCTTGACTTGCGTATCAATACGCCCAAACACCTCGAAAGACTGATCTGGGAGTTGTCGCACAAGGTCTCCTGTCTTGTAAAACCTTTGCATGCTGATGGCGACATTCCCTGGTAACCACTCAGGGCTTTCAATGAACACCTTTGCAGTTTTCTCTGGCTCATTCAGATAGCCCCTGCTCAGCGTTGGTCCTTGAATCAGTAGCTCGCCCTTTGCCCCAATAGGCAGTAGCTGATTGTGGTTCTCTGGGTTGACAACCCACCCCCAACAAGCTCCATCGAGTGCACGTCCAATGTTGTTAGCCCGCGCCGATTGGCGAGTATAGATATTGTAGGAGAATGCGCATGACGCCTCCGAAGGTCCGTAGCCATTGATGACATCCGCTCCAGACCGAGTCCACTTCTCAACGATTTCGGGACTGTTGGCTTCGCCGCATAGAATCACGGTTTTCAGACCAGGTACATCTTCTGGGTCGAGAATCTGTGCGAGAGTGGCTGTGACGCCGAGAAAGTTGGCGCCGAGGTCGTTGATGGCTCCGGCGAGGCGGTTGATGCGATCGAATTCGGTAGGAACGCAGATCGTGCCGCCAGCAATGAGAGTGGTGAGCACATCGAAGTTGGTGGCGTCGAAATTGTATGAGGCGAAGTGAAGCACTCGGGATGAAGGATTGAGTAGAGCAGCCCTTTGTTGTGCGAGGGCGTCCGTGACGTAGGCTCTGTGCTCCGTCATGACGGCCTTTTGGCTGAGGCATTAGCGGGATCTTTGGCAGACGTGATGTTTCATACCTTGGGGGTACCGGTAGATCCTGATGTAAACACCAGATAGGCCAGGTCTGATGGACGAGCGGGAGATGAGAAGCCCTCATCATCTGCTGAGTTCTCCAGGGCCTCAACGAATGCTTGGTCCAGTACTAGCGCCCGGGAGCTAACATTCAGAACGAGGTCCTGATGACGATTACTCGTGATAATGAGCGGAGCGTTCGTAATGGACGAACATTCTCGTAGAAAGTTGATGGGTGTCTCGGCACTGAACCCAACATAGGCACCTCCCGCTTTGAGAATAGCGACGATGGCCAAAACTGCAAAGGAAGACTTCTCGAACAGAATCGGAACAATGTCCCCTCTCTTGATACCACTGTTCATGAGGTGTTTCGCTAACCTGCTGGAGAGTGTCGAGAGCTGAGAATATGTGAAAGTGGGCCCTTCAGTAGCAACCACAGCCTCCTTCCAAGGAGTGTTGTTTGCATGCTCGTCGACATAGTCATGAGCACAACGCTCGACAGCTGGGATGTAGCGAGGGCTCCAGCTTTCAAGTCTTTCGTGGTTCAAGGGGCCGAGTACGTTGACTTCGCCGAGTAATCTGTCGTGAGGCAGGGTTGCGAACTGTCCAATGATCGTAGTGAAAGTCTCAAGAAACGCATGAGTTGACAGAGCAGATACAGAACGAGGGAGACCTAGGGATCGTGAATAGCTGTCAGTCATGATATTTGATTGGGCATCTCCGAGTGCGCGTCGCCAGGGAACTGCGAGCAGTTTGACATACAGTGTAGATCGATGCGGTATTGACCATCAATCACAATATCGGGTAAGATTCCTTGTTCACCAATGTCTGAATCGAGGTCCAAAGTCCCATTCTGAGCAAACAGAACCGTGGTTGGGTCGTCGTGAAGTTCGCCTCCTGGTGTGGAACTGTGAGGAGAGTGCTCGGAATCTGTGCCCGAGCAAATCTTTGTGTAACGTAAAGCTGTGCACGCTTCCAAGATCGTCATTCCTGAGTTAAACTCTATTACAATCTTGTCCTTCTTGCCATCTCTAATTACACTCGTTGTGACAAGTGAAGCGGCATTGTAGATGGCGATAGTGTAAGACAATGCGGTAATGAAGAATGTTTCTTGGCTAAGATTGTGCCTGGCGCAAAAGCTGAGAACGTCGTTGACAACGCCATCAGGCAGGGACGTCTTCACAAAGTCCGATGCCATGATACCCTTGGCAGAAGGTCAAGTTGCGAGGGTGAAAGCAGTACCAACAAACTCAGGAACGAAGCCTAATCCAAGCCCAATCTAAATAAGACGACTCTTCTCTGTATTAATGGCAGAAGATCTGACTCTCCCCGAACGCCCCGTCTGGATTGCTCCGTGGTTTCGGCCTCTCAGTCCTCCAATAGGGCGCTCTCGCGCATCGACTTTCGTGGACCCAGTGCTCAAAAGGGAAGAACGAATTTTCGAGATGTGCTTGCGAGTCAGGGCTATCACGTCTCTTGGAGCAATATAATTCGATTCGGCATCTTCCCCACGCTGAAGACTCGTGCCGTCTGGGGTCAATGTCCACCGCTAGTCAGGTCTGACTCGGGCTACTGGTTTGGAGCTCCATCTACACGATCGAAAATGGACAAGGCCAGATAGTGGGATCTGGGAACGTCTCCAAGATGGGGTACGAACGACAGGAGATGCAATCAAGCTTTGCCAAGCGATCTGGCAAACAAGGATCCTTGAGAGTGGCCCCAGTTCAGCAAATTAGCAGTGGGACTGGTCTGGCCCAGACTGCCGAGGGTTACAGCGAAGGACTTCAAGCTATCGTGGATCAGCTGGACACTGGCAGAGGTATTACACAGACTACGTACTAAGGGTTGGATTCGACGCGAACGGGAAGGCTTGGATGCAGGGGCGGGATCTGGATTGACATACTGATTGAAGCAGATCTGGTCGTGCAGTTTCTGCGACACCGGAATCCACGGAACCCGCGACAGTTACACCCCGAGATAATTCAGTCTACATTTCCAATGACTATACCCACAACCATGAATGCAATGAAAAGTCTTCCTACTAAAATGGGTGGTGTGAAGGCTGCCGGTTTCGATGAAGAGCTCCCGCCAAAAGTCCAACTGGTCTGGTTCTACTTGGTAGGCTCTATCTTTGTCACTATTTTATATGTTTTGAAACCTCAGTTCTGGGTTGAATATCACTTTTTCAGGCTGTTTTTCTCGAGGCTCAGGAAAGCTTTTGCTTTTTTCTTTTTATTTCTAATTTGATTTTGAAAAAAAGGTGCTTAATAATTGTCTACGTTGTCATTTACATTTGCCGCTGCTTCCTCACGAAGTATCAAATGTGGTTGAAATGTGCCTTTCGATCCAATGATTTCTATCCTATTTGAATACTCATCCCCTGAAATGTCTCGTGGTAGTGGGTGCATACTGGCCTACGACCGCAGCGAGTCACATGTGGCTATGCAAACTTGGCTTCGTACGGCGCAGTCAAGCCAATGAAGTCAGCCCTGGTGTGCAGCGCAGCCTGATCTTGGCTGACTGCGCACATAGATAAGTGGGAAACCCCTCTTCTGAGAAACCCCGCGGCGCGTGTTCTGCCAAGTCATCATTTCACTCCTTCGCCTCCACGATTTATCTCTCATCGACAATATGCGCAGAAAGCATGTAGCCGCGGCGCGGAACATCGCCTATCGGCACAGACGTGGCAGTCCACGACAGGGTGCTGTGAAGACCGTTACCAAGATTTCTGACAACTCTCTTTCGGGGACTCAGATCCGTCTTTTGCGCATCAAGCCTGGCGGGGCCAGGGTAAAGTGCCAGCTTCGCACCGTCGACAATATGCGCAGGAGGCATGCAGCCGCGGCGCGGAACACCGCCTATCGGCACAGACGTCGCAGTCCACGACAGGGTGCCGTGAAGACCGTTGCCAAGATGTCTTACAACTCTCTTTCGGGGACTCAGATCCGTCTTTTGCGCATCAAGCCTGGCGGGGGCAGGGTAAAGTGCCAGCTTCGCACCGTCTATCTCAGCGAAGACCCACGATACCATGCACTGTCATACGTGTGGGGTGACTCAAAAGACATGCGATTGATAAAAGTCAACGGAACTTTACTTCCGGTCACAGTTAATCTTTATGACGCATTGATCGCCTTCCGAGGCATGCCCTCCGATAATATCCTCTCGCCACCTTTCCTCATTTGGGTTGATGCCATTTGTATCAATCAGCACGACGAGAAGGAGAAGAACCGACAGATTCCACGTATAGGACAAATCTATGCTGCAGCGGAGCGGGTCATTATCTGGTTGTCTTCCTGCGACATGTGGTGGCCTGATGAAACCGATTTACATACGGGATTCTTTCACTATCAGCCACACAAGAGGCCATCCTGGCCTGACTTGGGCAAAAGTGAAGTCACCACCGCCGAAGATGCAAGAGCGGAATTTGATTATTTATTCAAAATATTTCAATGGCATCCTTGGTTTACTCGAATCTGGACTGTACAGGAGGCTGTGCTCACAAAGAGATCCCCCATCTTTGCCCACGCCTTTGATGGATTCGTCTGCACTGCGACACTTGACTGGATCAATGGACTCGCGAGAGAAATGAAGCACTCTGGTGAAGGGCTTTCATGGGATGACTTAGTGAAAATGAGATCATGGGCGCAGAAATCGCATTTGTCCCGGGACCTGAAGGATGAAAATGCTGGTTCAATGCTTATGATGCTTTTGAACCTTACCAGCATGAAAACGTCTTCCATTCTGCAAGACCGTATCTACGGGCTCTACGGTTTACTGCAAGTTTTGAATACTCGGTTTCCTGAATTGCGGCTCCCTCTTGTGGATTACAGCCGCCCCTCTGGACAGGTTTTCACCGATATCACCAAACTCATTATTCAATACACCGGCGACTATACCTTCATACAAGGCGCGTCCTGTGGGCACCGAGTGCCCGAAGCCCCTACCTGGGTGCCAGACTTCTACTTTTCCTCTTCTCGATCCCGAATCGGCCCGTTCTCGGATCAAACACCGGAGCTTTCAGACGATGGTAAGGTGCTCATCGTCACTGCGAATATAATCGACTTCTGTGAGACTATTTTTCCTGCCAAGGCGTACAAATACATTGCTGCATTTGAGGACATAAAATTGGCAGTCATCGAACGCATCAAAGAAATCGAAGACATGATCATTAGACCATTGTCGTCTCGTCGTTCTGTGGACTCTGAATACCTTTGGTCAGCCGTGTTGGCGAATGTCGACTTCAAAACTCTTGTCAAGGTCCGCGAGGCTGAGTTTGATGGCGCAGGGTGGCTAAACAATGAGCGAGTAAGGGACTTGTACGGAACACTCACGCAATGTCTTTTCTTTTCCACCAAAGAGGGCTATATTGGGAGATGTAGTGACAACGAACCATGCCAATCTGGTGACGTCATATGTGTCACGTCGGCGAAAAGACCGTTCATTATTCGCAAGCGAAATGCCAGCGATCAGTACGAAGTCATTGGGTCAATGACTTGGCATGAACATGGGTTCACAAACCTTGACGGGGGGGCTTTCGATCGTATCCAGCTGATATAGAACGGACCTAATCGCAAGTAATGCGCTGAAAAGCTGATTCTCTTGCTGCCTGGAGCAGCCGGTCGCTCATATGGCCGTCTGCTTGACATCACTGACCCTCACCAGCAAAGCTCAAGCGAAGACCCCGTGTGCTGTAGTCTAGAGCAGTCGGTGGTATATGAAAGACATCTCACCAGCGTTGTAAATAAGAGGTTGCTCTAAATTCATGAGATTGACGCACGTGGTTCTCGGCATCTGTCATTGGTGGGGTCTACAGACGAACCGGGCCGCGCTACGGCGCGGGGAACGCGGCCCAAACGTCGTCCGAACACCACCTCCCCGGCCCGTCCGGAACACTCACACTCAACCTGCCGCGGGCAATCAACGACACTTCATCTCTCAAATTCGTCAAATACACCAGTCTAAAGCCACTTGAGCCCTCCCTCAACACCTCCTAGCTTGCACGTCCTCAGAACAGTCACGCCATCACTCCACCTCACAACTTGTCATGAACCTCACCCCCCTCCTAGCCCTCACCCTCCTCCTCCCCGTACAATCCACATCCCACACCCTCACCATGCCCAACATCACCCGTCCCTCCCCATCCCTCCCCCTCGCCCCCTCCCCGCTCCCCGCCCGGATCCCCGAAGACGACAAACACATCATCGCCGCCCTCAAAACCCTCTCGCGCTCCAACCTATCCCGCCTCAAGCTCATCAGAAAGATACCCCTGGAAGGCCCCCTCTGGGAACCAGAAGGCATCGTCCGCCTCGCGTCCCCCACGGCCACCGACGACGAAGAACGCTTCTGGGTCTCGGCGGGGGAGTACACCGCCCCGACCTCCAAATACCCCGACGGCGAGTGGCGCGACGGGACAGACCGCACCCCCGGCGCTGGCTTCGCGCATTTTGTCATATTCGACGGGCGGGGGAAGAGATTGGGCGATTGGGTCGTCACCAAAGAGGGCGACATCGAGGTACCCCCTCCCCCGCCAGGTCACGCTGAAGGGGCACTGACGCGTATAGTACCACAACGGCGGAATAGACTACGACGGCACCCACATCTGGGCCACGCTCTCGCAGTACCGCCCCAACTCCACCGGCACCGTAGTCCGAATCGACCCCGCCAAGCTGGAGCTGGAAAGGATGTTCGCGGTGGGAGACCACCAGGGCGGCATCGTGCACAACGGCGTCGGCACCCTCACGACCCTAAACTGGGGCGGTCGCAAGGCTTCGACATGGGACTTATCATCCTCAGCGGAAAACGTGGCGTACCAGCAGCAGGAGGACAGACAACACCCCCTCGTCACCCCAACCGCCGCCGCCGCCCATCTCTCAAAGGAGATCATCAATCCGTCGTACTGGATCGACTACCAGGACTGCAGGTACCTGGGGGACCACGGGAAACACGAGGTGATGCTCTGCTCGGGCATCGCGACGCTGGCGGGCGGCATCGAGGTCGGCGGGCTGGCCATCGTGGACACGGAGACCATGGTGCCTCTATGGGAGGTGCCGTTCATGGAGAGGACGGAAGCGCAGGGGGTTTTGATGACCAAGAACCCGATGGACGTAGCTCTTGTCAACGGCCGGGTGAGGTTGTACTTTGCGCCGGAGGAGGGGGAGAGTGTGTTGTACGTGTATGAGCTGCAGTGAAATGATTACG